TCCACTCTTTGTGTTCTACCAAATTTTGATCTCATTATTCCTCCTTGTCTCTTTTTTTTCTCCTCTCAAATTTATTTCACTGTATTATACTCTTTAAGTATCATCTCCAAACACTAATCTTCCCGATTAATGCTTATACTTTTATTACCTCTACTACTACGGGATTTGAGTCGACCACTGCATCTCTATGCTAATATGGTGTGGCAACTCGAACTGATGTGCGTACGTACGAAGTTCTACGTTGTTACTGACTGACTGACTGGAACAAGCACTGTTAGAGTGGATCCCCGTTAACAGTCGTTCATGTGCTGTTCGGCTAAACGGCCCCGTAAGAACTCGGAAGGATAGGGACACACGTCGTTGCCTTTATTGTTGTTTCTGCCTACGCACCCACCGACTGCAGCTCAGATGAATTTTACAGAAAGCTATCTAAACTTCTTCAGAAAGCTAAACGTTCAGACATAGTACTCGTAGCAGGTGACTTGAATGCCCAGATCGGTAGTTTAAACCAAACAGAAAGGCATTTAGGTGTGTATTTTGCTATTCCGGCACAACGAATAGCTAATGGTTATCGTCTGCTGCAACTGTGCTCAGGCAATCGTTTATTTTTAGCAAACAAATTTTAAGCATAAGGAGAGACATTGTCTAACATGGGGACCCCCTATACAAAACCAACGGACTCAAATAGACCATATTGTCATCAGTCATCGTTGGAGAGGGTCGGTAGAAGTTTGTCGCCCATTCTGGAGTACCTACTTAGACCCCGACCATGCCTTAATACGAGCACGCATCTGCTTGCGTCTCACTGAACGCAAAACAGCCACGCTAAAAAGACCCATTAGAACTGGATTGAGTAGCGAGAAAACCAAAAGTAGGTTCCAGGAACAAACAAGGTCACACTTAAGTAGTTCTGAAAACGAAGCTGACCCAGATGTAGCTTGGAGAGATATACAGGCAGCTGTGGAAACAGTAGTGGCATCTATCAGTAATTTAAACCACAGGGTTACAAAGAACCAATGGATTTCTTCAAGGTCTATTGCACTGATGGATTCTCGAAAACTCATACCATCAGGTTCTAAACACGATGAAGAGCGTAAACAAATCAGATCTAGGTTAACCAAAAGTCTAAGGAACGACCGTGAGCAGTGGTGGGCAACGAAAGCGGCGGCGACTATAGGTAACATAACACAGCTCTACAGACTAATAAAAGAAACTGGAATTAATAAGTCAAATGTAAGTCAGACTATTTCGAAAAAAGACGACAGTCTCGTCTGCCCCCAGTCCAGACGTTTAGGACGATGGGTGAAACATTTCAGAGAACAGTTCAGTTACTCTACAACTGTCCTCCATTCCCAGACAGTGTGAATGGAACATTGAAGTAGGTCCCCCAACTCTAGCAGAAGGTCAAAAGGTTATAGTTAATCTGAAACGAGGAAGGGCAGCTGATCCAGATGGATTGCCTCCAGAAGTCTTTAAGGATGGTGGTCCAATTCTAGCAATTAGGTTGACTAATATTTTAGCTAAAATATGAGAGTTGGACGTAATCCCACCTGACTGGTCACAATCACTGATTGTCCCAATATATAAGAATGGATCAAAATCATCCTGTGATAACCATAGAGGGATTAGTTTGACTAATATAGCACCTAGAATACTAGCATCAATAATCATCGGACGCTTAACTAAGATTCGTGAACTGCACACACGAGAGAATCAAGCTGGCTTCAGACCTGGTCGTGGCTGCATCGACCACATATTCACCATTCGTCAAGTTCTAGAACACAGGCATACTTATCGGCGTCCGACAATGGTGGTCTTTCTTGACTTGAAAGCAGCATTTGACTCTAGAGACCGAGAGGTTCTGTGGCAGTATCTGTCATTGAAATGTGTACCTCAGAAGTGCGATTTTGCAACTTCTCCATTCCTGTTCAATTTCATCGTAGGCCTACCGCTGGGAATAACGTTCTCGTCATCTGAATTTTCAGGAATTGGTCTTCTTCCAGGAGGTCCACTTATCGACTTAGAATATGCAGATGACATAGTCCTGTTTGGTGAGGACGCTGATAAAATGCAGTGTTTTGGTAGCACCGAGCGACAATGCCAGGATGTTTGGGATGCGCTTCTCCCCTCTAAATGCACGTTGTTGCTTCAGAACTTGCCTGCGTCAACACCTGAACTAAGGATAGAGAGTGAAGTGGTCGGAGGTGTCAACAACTTCACTTATCTTGGAAGTCTGATCAGCCGTAGTGAGTTGGTGTCTGAAGAAATCTCAGTACGGATTCGAAAAGCTCATCTGGCTTTTGCCAACCTACGTCACCTATGGTGAAGGCGAGATAGCCGTCTATCAATTAATGGACGAGTATACTGCGCGGCAGTCCGTTCTGTTCTACTTTACGGCTGTGAAACGTGGCCATTAAGAGTAGAAGATACTCGTAAGCTTCTAGTATTTGACCACAGATGCCTTAGAAATATTGCTGGCGTCTGCTGGAATCACAGGGTAAGTAATAGTGAAGTTATCTTTCTTTCTATGAACTAATTCTTTCTTCCTGTACTATATCCTTATTGCAACCTTTCTTTTATATATTCCCAGCATTGACTTAACTCCTCCTATGAATCCGTTGTTCATCTTGTTGTGTTAGTGAGGTATGGCAACTTGGACCGATGCATATATATGCCTGGTGCTACGTTGTAACTGACTGACTGACTCTGCCAAATGTTAGTACACCGTCATACTTATCAAAGGCTAACAATTGCAGTGTTTCTTGACTTCAGGGCTGCCTTCGATTCGTTGGACAGGACTGCACTTAATCAGTTGGCAATCAGTGTCCGTAGGTACGGTATGTGCTTTGCACCTTCTAAATGCAAAGTACTTTTACAAGACTGGCAGGATTCTAATCCTGTACTCACTCTGGATGGTGAACAGATAGAAGTAGTCGAGAAGTTCGTGTATCTAGGTAGCTGCATAAGTGCTGGTGGTGGCGCGAATGAAGAGATCAATTCAGGAATAGTGAAAGCCAGAGCGGCTTATGCCAATCTGGGCCATCTTTGGCGCCTTCGTGATGTTAGTCTGGCTGTAAAAGGTCGGATCTACAACGCGTCGGTGAGAGCAGTTTTGCTCTATGCTTGTGAAACCTGGCCTCTCCGAGTTGAGGACGTTAGACGACTCTCTGTGTTCGATCATCGTTGTCTCCGAAGGATTGCTGACATTTAGTGGCAACACCATGTTAGTAATGCAGAGGTTCGGCATCGTGTGTTCGGGCACAGAGACGATAATGCAATCGGTGTCACCATCTTGAAACACCGACTTCGGTGGCTTGGACATGTTCTACGAATGTCGTCCCAGAGGATTCCACGTCGTGCATTATTTGCCGACTCTGGGACTGGTTGGAAAAAGCGGAGAGGTGGTCAGTGTACGACATGGTGTCGTGGTATGAAAGAAAGCTGCAAAGGGCTGGCTTCTGTTGGTCCTTCTTGATTCCCTGGTTGGGGTCCGAGAGATGGTGCCACACAGTGGTTAGAGACGATATCAGATATGGCTCGGAATAGAAGCCAGCGGCGATCCTGCTGTAACCTTCTTTTACTTTCTTCATAAGCAGTGGTTGTACCTTCCTTAACTAAACGATTCCTTCTGATTGTACCTTTCTGTTCCTCCATTATTACTATCATTATTATTACACTACCTTACACTAATCTGTTCGCCATTGCTCTTTTTTTCTTTTCGAATTTTCATTGTTTTGTATGGCGCACATACATTTGGTGCCGCCTTTTACCAATATTTATGTGTTCAAATGAAAATAATAATAATAATAAATACACTTAGTTCCAACCACATAGACAGTTTGAGAAATACCACCAAAACAATCATTTGAATGGAAAAGTGGCAGTGAAAACCACTGGGATAGTAACAATTCAGACTCAATCTCGAAAGTAAGAACCTGTTACACCAGCTACTTTATAGCTTATTCTCTGCAAATATTACAAGCTGTTTTTGATATGGAAAATATAATGGATCATTACTACTCGGTTTCCATTTAACAGGTATTCCAAAAATGTGCGAAAAAGGCTAGTCCTGTAAAGATAAATCAATATAAACCGTCAGCCGTCCAACATAGGACAAAACAGAGTAAGCCCTGCCAGAAAAGTCTGAGATACAGAGAATAGTATCAGCAAATCCAAACAATCACTATTGAGGTATATTGTCTTGGATGTAAATAAGATACACACTAGAAACATTAAGCATTAAAAGTGTAGAGCATATGTTAGGGTAATTGAAATGGTCTAATAGAATGCGTTAAAATTGGCATTCCATCCCTAGGTAAAATGATCATTGTTAACAATCGTTTAGGTAACTTCGCAGTATCATCATGGCACAATCCGTACCCCAAAAGCATGCGCGTGGACCCGTTACTTTATTCTTTAACTTCTACCACACGTTTACACATCAGATCAATTGCTACACTCTCAGGCCCCAGTTTTAACCGATCAACTCATTAAAACTGTGCACTCCATTAATTTAAGGAGACAGAGAATTGTTATTATCACTTAATAACGCTTAGCAGGATCATTCGTTTCAGTTACTCTACTATGAATTTTCCGTCTGGTACGAATCGCTAAGTAATTCCGAATGTTCTCCAAGTGGGAAAGTTGTCGAAACTTAATATCCCAAGAAGAATTTGAGGTCTACAAATCACAATATACGCTAAAGCTATATACTGCTATGGTCTATAAGTTCCGACAAGTAGACGTACTGTGTTGCCGTTTTGACGCAAGATAGTCATATTGAGGTTATCCCTACAAGCCAGCTAGAAACGGGGTTTTATAGCAGGCGACAGACGTACCACTCATAAAGTGGGTGAACTTGCAGAAAAGCTGATGTTCGCACTATTGTTTAAGTAATTCAAGGGTTTCACTTCGTGAAAAGACATAAACGAGTTGACATCATTTTCATAAGACACCAGACTCACACTCAGATTAGTAAGAAGACAGCAGTAGACACTTACCGTTTCATAATCATAACCCGATGAATCCCTGACGATAAGTTCAGACATACTGCTTGGCTCGCAAACCCCATTTTCATCTACTTCAATCGGTCTGAATTTCTTTTTTTTCTTTTTGTCTGAGAAAGTGAGCTCATCTGTTAGTTTTTCAGTAAGTTGCTTAACGCCGTTTTCTGTTGGGTCCTTCTTATGAAATTCCGGTTCCTGACGTGACTGCAAAATGAAGTATATAGGGATATTACTTACGTCCTCTTTGCTACCCACGTCGTCCAAGCTTAAGAGTTTGTCCTTTTTCTTCTTTTTTGAACCAAAGTCCAGAATATCTTGGTTCCCCAGATTACCGGGTTCATCTTTAAAATCATGCACAAGAGGCTTTGATTTCTTCTTTTTCTTACTTTCAAAGTCTAAAATGTCGTCCTGTAATGAAAAAGACCTTAATTTAGAAATTATAAGGCAACCAACAGCCATAATGACGCGTCCAACTTCCGATCAAAAACGACAAGGTCACTCAAGTTCCAACATCTTAAGACAAGATAAGATTGATTCGAGTGATTTCAATCGCACTCATGATAGTAAGGTAGACTAAGGAGCATTTGTTAACTTTTTTATTTTTTATTGAGGCAGATTTTTTTGTACAAACGAAAAGTGACACACCTAGAAAACTATGGTACTGTTCTATCGTCCTATTAGATGCATCTATATCTGAGTCCCCCATGATATGGTGATTTAGAAGAGTTCTGTCAGGTTTTTCTTTGTTTTGGTTTGTATGTGTCCGTGCATACCCTGCTTATTCTGATACTTTACGTTTTTATGTAATTTTGTAATCACACCAATAACGAACATATTCCTAAACTAATCCCATCTTAGACGCTCGAAACCTACACCGTGCAGCTTCTTCATATGGCATAAATGTACAGCTTTATTTCCTACAGTTAGAGTTTTGAAAATACAACGTGATTAATCCAGGCACTCAGCTGCTCGTGGAAATGAGATTATCGTCACTCTAGCTGAGAAGGTACGCCACAATCTGTTTATTATCGAAATGCACGAACGGTAAAACTTATCACGGCCATCATAGAAAGAGGTAATCTAACGGCTTAATAGTGGTCAGATAGACTGTTCCGTAATGTCGTGTCTAGACAAAGTTTGGCTACAACAAAGTTGTCAAGAGTGAATAAGGTTATTGGTCAACGAGCATTCGATATGAGCCTTTTTGATAACTTTTCTTTCTAAAGTGACTCATCAAGCTTAGGTTGTTCTTGTTTTTAAAAAACTCACTGGATTGGTTTGGTTGCTCTTGACAGTCAATTGCCAAAACTCCCCAATCTGTGGTGGGTTTCCCAACTTTATAACGAAGTCATCGATCACTGCAACAGTCTAGCAATAAACACGTTTTGCGTCACACTCTACCAACACTTTTTAATTCACAACCGATAGTTAGATTGACACCTGAAGTTGAAAACTAGCTGAGAAACTACACTCTTGATGCTGAAATCGAACGAAAACCCTGTGAAGCTCTCCAGAAATTCTTTTAACTCCCTATCTGGCTTTAGCTATTAGCTTTCTATGGGTACAAAGTGCAACTTAACTATATGTCTCGGCACACAAACACAGTAAACCAGCCGCCTCACTATCATAAACGGTAAATCGAACCTCTTAATAAAAATATGAAGATATTCATGGATAAACGCATTGTCATCCGAAACCTGTTCTTAAACAGAGATCCTCTAAGTCGGTCACATCACATATCAAGAACTGAGGAACTCGAAGACATATTTGGGCGGTGATCGGCAGATTGAGGTGCATACAATCTAAGTTGACTAGTTATCTCCTGGAGTACCTGGACATGATCTGATATGGATGTTTAACCGAGAGTTTTTAGGCAAGGGTGTCTTTAGCCAAGCTAATAAGTGAGACAACCCCGTGAGTTCAACTTGTATACAAATTTTTCCTGTATTGTCGTGAAAGTGTTTGATGAGTCTTAGGTCTTGAAAACGAACGCTTCCAATACTTATATGGGAAGGACGAGTGATTCATAAAATATCATAAGTATGTGCCGCACAAATGTCTGTAATCTTAGGAATAAAATAACTGAACCCCGTTTCGTGGTGGATGAATTATGTCCTAATATAATGAATTCACAATATTGCGCGAACATCCTCTTCCAAAGAGTACTGCACTAGACACCGAATAGAACAAGCAAGCTCGGCAGGACATCTGGAGGAGAAATCATGGTCCATCATATCACTTCGTCACCTTTTTTCCTCGTTATTGTTACATTTCGTCAATACACCGTTATACACACATCACGTGTCAACAGATGCCTCTTCATTTTACGACTAGACCACTCCATGTAGTTGTCAGTGAAGTTTTCAAGAGCCACCTCATGCCATTTAGGAGTCACAGCTTGCATGTGTTTATCGAATAGCCATCTCCTGAAGCAACGTTGACGAGCGTGTTTTTTCAAGGGTACAGTCCACACCAAGTGCTTTATAAATTTACTTAAACTCAGCTGTAAATTTAAAAGTTGTATGGCATAAATGCATAGCACGACTAGAATTCTAACACAATAGTGCCGAGTTTGAACCTGTTGTGCAATGTGGACGCGATGCCATTTCCGAATTCAGCGCAATACTAAGACATAACCTAAACATTAACGCTCTGAGACTTGTGCCATAATGTACTGCTTTTATTTTTAATTATTTCATTTATTTAGCAACCACACTTGGGAGGCATAATGTAGACAAACCATACCTGAAACAGTGGAGTGTTCCTTCCCAGGCTGGAATATATATTTTATTAATATATCAATACTAACTTCCTGCTAAATATACTACAAACCCTCTCTCCAGTTGTGAAGTCACTCTTAAATAATAGTTTAAGCTATACAGTAAACATGAGACGAACAATACTGTTCATCATATTCCATCTGGATTATGCAACGTATGTATGCTTTGACCAGCGGTTGAAGGTCATAAGCAAGGACACTATTCTTCGTCACATTTAGTTCTTAACGAAAAGTCTTGAGCGAGAGTGAAAATAAGATAATATATCGATGGCATGTCTCTGCGTTGTACTGACTGTCCTTACTTGTACTGTACAATTATGGTCTACTTCGTTATTAGTACTGCTCCAGTAACAGACGTAACCCCGAAATTGTAGATTTGTCATGATGTAACTGTATAATCTCGAATATCTTAAGTGGAAGTCATATCATTGTCTACACCGACTCATCGTGTCGCAACAATCACCAATATATGATGGAGAACACATTTAGGCTGGAGGTAGAACAATATAGTTAATATGAATAAAAGTGATAGGTCACACAAGAAAGACCACGCCTGCAAGGCTGAGCCATGCCACCCGATTAGCTGAATTCGTTTTTCCGCTTCTTCCATTGTTCGGTTTTTCACCGCTTTAAATGGTAAATATCTATTTTCCTAGTTATTTCATGTTCAGCTTTGAGGATTGTGGTTACGATCCAATGAAAGTTTGTGCAAAGGACGTACTTCCCATAATCTCAGCAAACGTATCAAAGACCTATTTTGAATCACTGGTAGGCCCCGCCTAATCTCTGTATATATTACAGGACGAAAAAGCCAACTATTCTTGGTTATGATTCGATAGAGCGACTAATATCTACAAAATTTCTCAAGACGTTGCTTTCTTACCATTATTTGCATCACTTTCTGAATTAATGCTGACCATGTGATGACGCTTTCTTTAAAAATAAGTTTCTTATCAAGTCGCAAAACGGTTATAAAGCCTTACTGACACTATGTTCTGAAATAACAAATTAAATACTTCATATCAAAAACATCTAGATTCTGAATATTTAATTACACACTTACCAGTGGTGATTGTGCATTTAATCCTGTACCTGGTGATTTTTTCAGCAGCACAACCAGGACCTGTTCGGCTAAATTTTGAATCATGGATGTTAATTATTGTGAAGCAGACATGTTTTGCAGCTCTTCAGCATATAAACCAATGAAAAACGTCCTATAAAACGAAGCTTGAAGAATACCAGTGGTTTGATGAATCATAAAATAATTTATCGAATAATCACAATCACGTTAAGCAATATAAAAAAAGATAATAGGTTGAGCTGCTCAAAACCACTTTTGAATATTATAGTTGGAAAAGTAGCATGGGATAAACACGAGCATTCTACAGCCAAAACAGACCTAGGCAGTTCTTTCCAGTTGCTATTCATCCTTTTCATTTCTGTTTCTATTTCTCGAATTAATGTGTTCATTGACCTTCTTTGTTTCCGTTTCCTTTCACGATTCCAAGTTAGCGCTCACCTCGTGATGCAATTCGGTGATTTCCATAATGTATGTCCTACCCATTTCCAATGTCTTTTCCTAATTTCCTCTTCAACTCGAAGCTGGTTTGTCCCCTCTCACAGTAGACCGACAGACACTGAGTATCTTGTGTAGACAACTGTTTAGAAATACTTGTACCTTTTTGGTGATGGTAGTAGTAGTTCTCCAAGTTTCAGCCCCGTACGGTATCTTGACGTTCGTATTGAAAATTCTGACTTTGATGTTGGTTGACAGTTGTTTTGAGTTCCATATGTCCTTCAATTGCAAGAATGCGGCACTTGCTTTACCAATCCTCCCATTTACGTCTGCATCCGTCTCTCCTTGTCCATCGATGATGCTTCCCAAGTAAAACGACGTGTGTAACACCATAACATTTTGGAGACCATACTTATACGTTGATGACCTCAAAATAATTTACAGCTTCAAGCATGGAGCTCTAGGTGAAAATGTATCCCAAATTCAGAGTGACCTCAATAACCTATCTGGAGAGAGAAATGACAATTACCATTTAACCTCAACAAGTGTGGGATCTTGTGTTTCGAAAAACGTCCCTATGATTTACAATCTCTCTTAAGTAAAAGTAAAGTTCAAACACTGAGATCAGTTCACGATCTAGGTATTACTTACACAGGAAGCCTATTGTTTGAATAAAATGCCTCGTTTATGGTTTCTAAATCTAGTTGGTTAATTGGCTTTATAATGACCTATTTCGTCATAACAGAAGCTAATATTACCTTTGACAAAATATGTACACGACCCTCCCTTGAATATTGCTTTTTCATCTTCTCAAATGTGAATACCACAGGCAAGATAGGAGTAGATGTTCAAACGCGCTTCACACCCCAAATTGTTAGGAAGTGACTCCACTCTCGACTACACAGATAGATGTAAGCACCTCTCTTGAGCTTTATAGCACCGTAAGATAATGAACAATTTAATATTTCACTACAAAGCAATATGTGAACTCTCGTTTCTAACCTCCTTCCAAAATATGATCCATGACCCAGACTATAGACTTAGAAACAACGCATATACACTACTCACCGTAAAACACCAGGAACAAATGCGTTGTGAGTTTTTTACAGTGTGGTATAGTTTATTGTGGAACAGCTTGTCAATACCTGTCCGTAACTGTGACAC